AAATGTAAGTGGTGTAAGAATGACAATCAAAAGAAATTAACAGAGTAGCTTTTTTTTACAAACATCATCCAACTCTATGCTGTCTACAAGAGTGTCACTACAAATTTTACATTAAAGATTTATTCACTTTTAAGCATAATTTTATGCTTCTTATACAAAAAATATGCTTCCAAATAAATTACAAAATAGAATTGCTTAACTTTGTAATGAACATAAACATGAGTGAACTTGGAAGCAAAAGAGCCTAGAATTGTAAAGGATTGTTCAGGCCACTAAAGTTTAATGGCCTTATCAGAAAATTTAATTTAACAATATCCCTAACCAATGATTAATTTCCAGATGGTTCTAGGACACTTAAGATGATGGGAGCCTCATTACTTCTTAGGGCTGTCCATTTCTTATGTTGGCCAAGAACAGTTTCAGCTGATTGTTCTAAATTCTAAAACATGGAATAGTAAAGCAGTAGGTTTTTTTTTAAGATTTTATTTATTTATTTGACAGAGAGAGACACAGTGAGAGAGGGAACACAAGCAGGGTGGGTGGGAGAGGGAGAAGTAGGCTTCCTGCCAAGCAGGGATCCTGATGTGGGGCTTGATCCCAGGACCCCAGGATCATGACCTGAACTGAAGGCAGACACTTAATGACTGAGCCACCCAGGCACCCCATAGTAAAGCAGTAGTTTAATCCCTTTTGAGCACAGTAGACCTTCAAGTGTTTTTAAAAAAGATTTTATTTTTAAGTAATCTACACCCAGCATGGGACTCCAACTTACAACACCCCCATAATCCTCCAACCCTCCCCCAATCAAAGTCATGTGCTCTACCGACCAAACCAGCCAGGTGCCCTGACCTTCAGGTACGTACGTATGTATGTATGTATGTATTTTTAAATATTTTATTTATTTATTTGAGAGAGAGAGCGACACAGAGATAGCAACAGAGAGCACAAGTGGGGACGAGAGGGAGAAGCAGGTTGTCCCTGACATCTCTGATTTTTAAAAAATATTTTATTTATTTTGTTTGAGAGAGAGAGAGAGAGAGAGCACAAGCAGGGGGAGAAGCAGAGGGAGAGGGAGAAGATGGATGTGGGGCCCTATCCCAGGACCCTGGGATCATGACCTGAGCCAAAGGCAGACGCTTATGGCAGACAATTAACTGACTGAGTGACCCAGACTCTCGGACCATTGAGTATTTGAAGAGCTGTCACATCTCCTTTATAAGTCTATGTTCTCTAAATTATGAACATTTCTTTCAGTCATTCATCACAAGACATGGATCTAGTTCTTTTACCACCCACACTGGCTTCCTCTGGAGACATGGCAGAGTAGTGCTCTTCTTAAAATCAGAAAATAAACCTAAAAATATTTAAGAGAATTGAAAACATCCAGAGTTCGATTTCTGATCACAATGGGCTCAAACTAGAAATTAATAGCAGAAAATTAACCAGAAAATATCCAAACATGTGGAAAATAAACAACACACTTCTAATGAATTCTACAAAATTTCTACATAGTAACCATGAGCATGTGGAAACTGAAATTTAAAAAGTATCATTTATAATTGCTTCAAAGAGAAGGAATGCTGAGGAATACATTTATTAAACTTGTATAGGATCAAATGCAGAAAACTACAAATTTTGATGAAAGGAATCAAAGATCTACGTAAATAAATAAAGAGACACACTATGTTCATGAATTGGAAGACTAAAAACAGAAATAATGTCAATTCTCCCTGTAAGTGGTCTATAAGTTTAACACTATTTATAGCATAGGTTAGATTTTCTAAACACATAAACACACATAAATCAATTGGACCTCATCAAAATTTAAAAATCTAGCTCTGAGAATCAAGAATGAAAAGACAACCTGCAGACTGGAAGGAAAATATTTGCAAACTACATGTTTGACAAAGGACTCACATGTAGAATATATAATGAACTCACAAAACTTAATAAAAAACAAATGGCTCAATTAGAAAATGACAAAAGACATCTCACTGAAGAGGAAATACAGATAGGAAATAAGCACGTAAAGAGATTTTTGCCATCATTAGCCATCAGGGAAATACAAATTAAAACCACAATGAAAGATCACTCCATCAGAACAGCAAAAATGAAAACAAAACTACAACAAACAAACAGTGATAATACCCTGTGCTGACGAAGTTGCAGAGAAACTGGATATATTCATAAATTGCTGATGGCAAAATAAAATGTTACAGCCACTCTGGAAAAATAGTTTGGCAGAGTTGGAAAACCAAACATGTCCTTACTATACAACCCAACAATTGAATTTTGGAGCATTTATGCAGATAAAAAATTTTGTTTCCATGAAAACCTATAAACAAATACTCATGGTAACTTTATCCCTAATGGCAAACACTGGAAACAACCCTGATGGCCTTCATGGGTGAATGACACACAAACTATGAAGCAACCATACCAAAGAACACTACTTGGCAATAAAAAGAAATGAACTATAGGGGCTCCTGCAAGGTACAGTCGGTTGAGCACCAGACTCTTGGTTTTGGCTCAGATCATGATCTCAAGGGTCATGAGATGGCGCCCCCAGACGGGCTCTGCACTCAGCCAGGAGTCTGCCCGAGATTCTCTCCCTCTGTCCTCCCTCTGTGCATGTGCACGCTCTCTCTCTCCCTCTCAAATAAATAAATAAATAAATCCTTAAACTATAGCTTTTCATTTAAAAAAAAAAGAAATGAACTATATGCTATATCTATATCCATAGTGGAATTGCATAGAGCTACACACACACGCACACACTCGAATGAGTAAACCGGGGGAAACAAGACAGAAACAAGACAGATAGACGTGTTAATATCCTGATTTTGATACTGTACCACTTTAGAGAGATGTTATGACTGTGTGAAAGTAGGAAAAAGTACGTGGGATCTCTCTGTACTTTTTCTCACAACCGCATGTAAATCTATGATTATCTCAAAATAAAACTAAAAATTCAATTGCAGTTCTATATACTAACAATGAACATGTGGAAACCGAAATTAAACACATAGTACTACTTACAGTCACTCCAAACAAAGTGAAATAGATATGACTCTAGCAAAATATGTACACGTGGCTGAGTGAGTACTGATGGAATATTTTTGTATCTTGATTGTAGTGGTGATTACAGAAATCCCGACATGGGACGAAATGGATGGAGATACACACACACACACACACACACACACACAAACACACACACACACACATTGATGCGGGTTCAGAAAATGGTGAAGGCTGAATGAGGCCTATAGTCTACCTAACAGTAATGTACCAATGCCAGTTTCCTGGTTTTGATATTATACTGCATCTATAGAAAATGCAACCATTGAGGGAGCTGGGTGCAAGGTTCTTTTGTACTATTTTTGCAACTTCTTGTGAGTCGATAATTATTTCAAAATAAAATGTTAAAAATAAATGAGATGAGGCCAAGGAAGGGTTTCAGAAATGATTAGAAGGCACAAGTGATGCAAATGAATGAGGCTGGATCCAGTCTGGAACAAAGGATTTCTATCTGGCTTAAGCCTGTATTACTGTGGCCCCTTCTTTTTCAAATGATTAATTTTTTTTTCGTGGCATTACACAAATATAGATATACAAATGGATATACATACATATATACAGAGAGTAAAAAGTGCATCTTTCTATTGCCTTAATCAGAGGTAAACAATGTTGAGTAATTTGATACATCTGCCCTGGCATTTTATATGCATTCACACCCATGCATGGTTATGTTGTGGATAAAGTCATGATGCCACACAATAACGTAATGTTTATGACATTCTCTTTTTGGGGGTGCCTGGGTGGTTCAGTCCGTTAAGCATGGGACTCTTGATATTGGCTCAGATCATGACGTCAGGGTTCAGGGACCCAGGCCCGCATGGGTCTCTCTGCTCAGCGGGGAGTCAGCTTCTCCCTCTCCCTCTGCTCCTCCCCTGCTCAATGCTCTCTCTTTCTCTCTAAAATAAATAAATGAATCTTAAACAAAAGAAATTATCTTTTTTCCCCATGACCATGTATGTATGACCACTGTTCAGCCAGTGTATATAATTCATTGTGTTCCTGTTACAGAGATGCCACACATGTTCAAGTGTGATGATGATAGGCATTTTGAGAGAGCCTGAATACTCAGGCCAGCCCTCCTTGTGAAAACAGGGATGAGGTCATGGTGAATCTACTTTTTGCAGACAGCTTTTAAAAAGTCATGACTATAATGAAGCTTGATCATTTCAATAGTCTTGAAAAGTGGTCGATTTGGGGTTGGATTTGGTTTAGAATAAAGATAAGATGAAACCACGAAAGGGCTTTTAAGCCCACCAGCAAGGAAAACAGCCCCGAACAAGGGCAAATGAAAACCGGAGAAGACCTTGTGCCGTGTCCAGGGCAAAGATACACTTAAGAGGAGTACTTAGAAATCATTGTGGGGTGAAAGGTAAAGACAATGAGGGTAACGAGTCAATTCACCAAAAAAGAAATACACATGACCAGCAAATACACGAAAAAGAAAAAACGCGCCCATGCTTTGGTGAAACTCTTCAATGCCGCTGAATTAGCAGTGATCTGCGAATTAAAGAAAGGTACAATGGGTTGCCTGGCCGGGTTTTGTGCGGAGACAGTGGGGAAGGGGGATACAGTAAACAGGCGGGGTGGGGGGCCTTCCCAGTAGGCCCTCTGCACCGAAAGAGCTTGGTGGTCCAAACACTCCGTCCCCACTCGCCCTCCCACCACCCTCCCACCACCCTCCCACCACCCTCCCTGCTCCGCTCAAGGACACGCCCCAAAGGAGATCCCTGGGGATACCACCTTCCAACACCTTCCTGCCCTCGGGCTCTGCCCTTGGGCGCCCAGGAGGAGGCGGGGCTCGCTGGCGGGGCGGTCCCGTGGGCGGTCCCGGGCCGGCGGCGGCCGCTCTGCGGCGCCCGGGAGGGGGCGTGGCCACACGAGGGGCGTGGTTACGCTGGCGAAGGCCGCCCCGGCAGCCGGCGAAAGGCGGGGCTCGCCCTAGGCTGCTCCGGAGGGGCGGCGGCGGAGGCGTGGAGGCTGCGGCGGAGGCTGCATCCCCGACCCAGCCAGGGAAGGAGTGACCGGGGGCGGGGCGGGAGGGCACCGGTGGCCGGCGGGGCGCCTCAGGCCTCGCGTCCACCTGCCCGGCCGCACGCTCTCCCCTGGGTCGGCGGGGCCTGCGCCGGCCCGGACCCATGGCGGCGTCGGCGGCTCTGTCGGCGGCGGCGGCGGCGGCGGCCCTGTCGGGCCTGGCGGTGCGGCTGTCGCGCTCGGCGGCGGCCCGCGGCTCGTACGGCGCCTTCTGCAAGGGGCTCACGCGCACGCTGATCACCTTCTTCGACCTGGCCTGGCGGCTGCGCATGAACTTCCCCTACTTCTACGTGGTGGCCTCGGTGATGCTCAACGTCCGCCTGCAGGTGCGGATCGAGTGAGCGGGCGCCGCCGCAGCCCCCGCCGGAGAGTCCCGCGCGCCGGGCCGCGCCGGGCAGGGGCGCCGGCATGGAGGACGGCCGGCGGGACGCGGCGGGGGCAGGAGGCGGGGCGGCCCGGGCCCCCGGGCCCTAGACCTCCGCGGGGGGGCGCTGGCCACCCGGCCGCCCAGCCACCCGGCCGGGCCCCGGCCACGACCGGCCGCCCGCCCGCGGCGTGGCCGGTGACCTATTGCACAGAAACTCTGCCAACGGGCCCTTACTGTCGGGCTCCAGGGGAAAAAACCAAACAAACCAAAAAACGATTTGAGGGCGGCCGACCTGTTGCCTCACGTTGGCCAGAGCCGGGGAAGCCGCAAGGAAAAATTCTGCAGCAGGGACTTGACTGGCCCCGATCCACAAGGTAGGAGGCCAGAGGCTGGACCCGCGGGCTGGCGGCGGCGCTTGCCATGACGTCTCGGTGGCAGGGGGCAGTGTGGACGGGTCCCCAGGAAGCCAGCCCCTGAGCTGCCCAGGCGGGAGGCCACAGGCTCCCTATACTCTCTGGTCCTCATTCCCGGACGGGGGTGGGGCGGCGGCGGCGGCGGCCGGGGCATCTCGGGGCGTCAGCCCATCCCCGCCGCACTCTCCCCAGAGGCCCTGATGCTGCCACCTGAACCCCAGGGAATGGAGGGGAATGGGCTGGGGGAGGCGCCGGGGAAGGCTCCAGAAGGAAAAGATGCTGCCGCCCTTCACCCCCTTGGGGAGCCAGACAGGGAGGGGGGTTGTGTTCTTGGCCAAAGCCCTGGTGGGTGCCTCTTGTAAACCCTCAGGCCCCTGGGGTCTGGGCAGCTGCCTCTGGCCCTGTGTTGGGGGCCTGCTCCTTCTGTGCCTGGGGCTCCCCTCCCGTTCTGGGGGCGTCCTCTGGCGCTGGGCACTTGGCCATTGGAGACCCAGAGGAGTGGGAAGGCCGCTCTGCCCTATCCCTGCCGCCATCCTCCCTCCGGCCCCTAGGTCTGCCCCTAGGTCTGCCCTCCCGGTGCCACCAAAGGCCGCCTCCAGCAGTCCCTGTGTGCCCAGAGGAGCCGGGGAAATGGGGGTCTCCTTGATCCCAGGGCAGCTCACAGGCTGGGGAGCGGAGAGCAGGTGGAGCAGCGGCTTGCAAGGAGGCAGCCCTTGGGGAAAGGCGCCCCACACTCCGTGGGACCACTGTGGAGTCTCCATCTCTCTGTCTTTCAGGAACCAGTGTTCGTAGGTGGTGACCCACCCCTTCCGTGGCCTTGTGGAGAGACTGCAATCCCTGCCCAGGGGCGGCCCCTGGGCCCAGTGCTGCCTGGGGAGCTGCTGGGCAAAGGGCCTAGCCCGGGAGGAGAGGAAGGACCTTCCAGGCAGAGGCACCGGGTGCTGGGGTAGCCGGTGGTCCCGTTCTGGCATGGGGAAGGACGTGACCCTGTCACCTCAGCACTGCATCTCCTAGCGACACTTTGAGGGCGTTCTGTGCTCCCCACCTGATGATTGGAAGAGCTGGCTCTGGGACTGGGAGAGATGTGTCCTTGTCCTACAGATACGAAGGAGTGGGGCTGAATCTGCGCCCCGTCTTTGAGAAAACCTGGCTCTGTGGGGGGGTGCTCAAGGCCCCCCGGGGGACCTAGGGGGAGAGAACGAGGTCCAGGGTAGGGAATGTGGGGAACTGGCTCTTCTTGGGGTGGTGTGGGAGGCCACAGGGAAGACCGTCAGAGCTGAGATGGACACAGGAGAGAGTCCTAGAATGCCTCGCAGAGCGGAGGGCTTTACCCACAAAGCCGGGCCTCGCCTGCCCCCCACCCCAGGCTGGACCAAGAGCTCCTTGGCAGCTGAGTGGCACGGGCCTCTCGGTTTGGGTGGCGGGGTGGGGCTGGGGTGGTGGCGGGGCCCCTGGGCACAGGCTGGAACCAGGAGGGTGAAGGGATAAACCTGGGATGGGTCCCCAGGCTCGTCACCCCCCAGTCCGGGATCCTGCCGGAGAACGACCTCTGGAGGGGCTTGGATTGGCCCTGAGGCCCCAGATGTGCGGCTCCTTGGCCCACCAGGATGGCCAGGCACGACCCCGAGGGGGCCAGGAAAGACCCCGGTCCCCTAGCCACTCTGTCCCCGGTTGCTCTTGGCCCCCAGGCTCCAAATTCCTGGGACTGAAAACCCAAGCAGCCTGTCCAGCCCCGGGGACAGAGTGGCCCTGTGTCACCCTCCCGCCCTCCTTAGTCGCCGCTCTAGAGGACGGGTCCTGAGTGAAGAGCTCTGCCCACCTCACCCCGGGGACCAGGCGTCCATGTGTGCCCTGCAGCTTCCCACAGACAGGACGTGGTGGCTCTCACCTCGTGCCAAGGGTTCTGCGGTCCCGGGTCCCGGTGGCACCTCCTGTACCCCAATCCTCTCCACCCAGAACCACATCTGGGAGCCTGCCGGCCTGTCGACTCCATCCACAGATGTCTGGGGACAGCGTGCGAGAGCCCCGCGGGGCCTCCCTAGGACGGATCCACAGATGTGCCCTTGCAAGGCCCCGTCTCACCCTCGGGGTGACCCGCTCCCCGGCTGGGGCCTTGGGGCTCAGCTGGCGCTGCCTGGGGCCTGGGACACCTCTTCCCCACAGAGAGAGTGGGAAGCCCCGGGGCCCTGGCCCAAAACGCCTGCCCTGCGGGGCACCCCAGCCCAAGTCAGCCTGCCCTGGGGGCCTGGGAAGTGTCAGCACGGCCCCCGAGGGACTGGGCCGGGGCTGCACTTCTTTGGACTGTGGTCCTGCCCCTGCTCTTCGGACAGGATTGGCCTTGAGTAGGGTTTGGCCTTGAGTAGTTATTGAGCTGCGCCCCCCCCCCCCGCCCCCGCCCGCACTGGGCCCTGGCTGCCTGACAGGCTCTCCATGCACTTTATTTGTAGTCTGTGTTCCAGACAGCAGAGCTTCTGCAAAATCGGAGACATGGGCCGAAGAAGATGACTGTCCCTTTCCTGTGTGTGATTCACTGTCCTGGTCAGCACGGGCTGCTCAGAGAAACCCTCGCGTTCCTGCTGTTGTCAAATCTTGTCCCTCTAAGTTAAAAAGAAACACCCCTCCCTGAGTTCAATAAAATCCAGTCATATTGGAGGCCTCCTCTCCTGGTGTGGGGTCCCCTGGGGGGCCGGGAGCAGGGGAGGGAGAGCCAGGGAGGGCTGCAGGGTGGAGGCCTGCCCAGAGACGCGAGGCCAGGGCCCCCGGAGGAGAAGGCCACAGCACGGGCCTGGCCAGACAGTGGCGATTTGTCTCGTTCTCAACCTTTATTTGAATAACCCGAGACCTAGGTGTTCTCTCCGTTTCAGAGCCGGGCCTCAGAAAGTGCTTACTATAGTGGAAGCTTGAGGGTGGGCTCGGGGCGATGGGGTGAAGGAAGCTCCCTGCACATCATTTTGGGTCACCCGGAGGTCCGTCTGCCATAGCAGATGGCGAGGAGCCCCTGGCCTCCCTGCTGGCGAGGTGGGCTCCCAGTTTTGGAAAAGATAAAACCTTGGGGACCAGAAACCTACTGCCCTTCCCCCCGGCTTAGACCCGAACTGTGCCTTCAGAGCCCCAGCCTAGTGAGTCCCCAGAGAAGCCTGGCCATGGAGAGGGTCCCCGGGGGGGCCCGGGGGCTGAGCTAGAAGAAGGAAAGCCCCCCCCATCCCCACGGGGAAGGGCTCCTGAGGGTGCAGGGTCATGGTCCCCGGAGGTTCACAGCCTGGGGTAAGGGCCTTGGGGGTGCTCTGCCCGCTGGGAACTACCAGGGGCCAAAGCACCCTGACAAAGCAGAGCCTTCGGACACCTGGCACCACAGGAGGGACAGACCCCGGTCCCTGCCAGCACCCTGAGCTTCCCTCTGCTTAGTGCAGACGGTTCTGTTCAGTCTCTGTTGGTCCCAAACCCAGCCCAAGGGTCACGCAGCCTGGCACCACCAAGAGGGGAGGGTCAGACCGGAGCTCGGGGGTCCCAGGCACGTTGGGGAGGGAGGACCACCCTTCCCTGCCGTGGAGGAAGGCAGGCAGCTTCCGCTCTGGCTCAGGGTGGCCTTCTGAGCCCAGTTCTTCCTCGGTCTGCTGCGTGGCCATGTGCACTCTCGTGTCGCCAGTAGGGAGACCTCAGGGTGGCCGTGGGCCTTCAGGGAGCCGGTGGCTGCTCAACATCCATTCGGGCCTCACGCGGAGCAGCCTTGTGTGTATGAGGAGAGGAAAGAAAGCGGAGGGAACTGGCAGGTGTGGGGAGCCTGCCCAGTCCCCGGGGCCCTGCTGGGGGCTTTCTTCCGGGGTCCTCCCTATCACCCCCACGGCCACGTCTGGAGGAGGTCATGGTGAGGCTGTGGTCCCAGGATGACCCAGGAGCTTGACCCAAGCAACCGGAGGCTCCTCACCTCCTGCCCTGTCCTTGGAGCGGACCTTCCACCCCTCACCCCCCATGAGGAGCGGTTCCCACCCAGGTCGCAGCCTTGAGAGAGTGTGGTGAGGCTGAGCCCACCTGGACAGCACCTGGGACTGACCCCAGTGAGGGCCTCGTGCAGACCCCTGACCCCGGCAGGTGGGTGCGTGGACACATCCTCACGCGAACGCCGACAAGACAGGCTCGTGGGTCAATTTCCTGGCGCAGTGCACCTGCCTCCTTGCCGTTTGCAGCACTTGGCCTCCGTGTTGTCTTGTGTCCTCCTCCCCAGTGCTCCCTGCTGCGGCTGCACGCGCAGCTGGGACAGGTCGTCTCCCCGGTGCACAGGCTTTCCCACAATCCACAGCCCCTCTTTGTCCTGCTCCACGTGCGGCTCTTTGGTTTGCTTGGCTGCACATGGGAAATGCCTTTGCTTCCGCCATTCCTGCAAGGTTCCGTGGCCCCCGTGCTCAGAGTTGAGAAGATCTTATTCCCATGTCTGTCACCAGCCATGAGAGGACAGGGTCTGTGTGGTTCCCGTGCCGAGCACAGGGGTCATCCCACCGCCCCCTCTGTCTCCACCTGTCCCTGTGTGCAGCTGGCTTCCCCCATGGGGAGCACTCCCGCGGTATCTTCGGTCTCTGGGCTGCTTCCCGCCGTCGTGCTGAGGACCCTCTGTGGGCAGCCTTTGTGGGAGACTCCCGTTCGCTCCTCTCAGGGTCCCAGCTTCCATGGGCCACCTTCACACCCTTTCTGGGCAGGCTTGCAGCCCCCCTCCCATCTCCCCTCCATGCGCTGCCCCGCCACTCCACCGTAGAGGAAGGGGAGAGAAGAGGGCTAAGCAGCAGTGCTCCACGGCCCACTCCCCTAGACTCGGCCTCCTCTGCGGCCCTCACACTCTGGGGCAGAGGAGCTGCCGGCAGATTCAGGCACCAGGAAGGCCGTTGCTGGGGGGGGTGACGCCGACCACAGAGTGGACTCTTTTCTGCTCTGCAGCCTGCCGTGTGCTCATCCTGCGGAAGGAGGTGGAGGCCCACAGCAGGCAATGGCTGCTGGGCCTCGGGGTCTGGGTGACTCCACCAGGTGCCCCCTCACCCCTGGGCATGTGTCGCCTGCCCCCGGCTGTAACGGGGACATGACGACACTGCCACCTCCCTGCGGGGTTTTCTGAGGGCCATGTGGCAGTAACGCTTGGACGGCCCTGAGTCCAGTGCTTGGCAGAGACACAGGCTCGGCTCATCGGATCCATGCGTCAGGGTAGGACTGCCGTCTATCCCAGCAAAACTTCTCGGTGTTCATGGGTGCCCCTGACATAGTGATGCCTGCCCTGGTGTCCCCTGAGTCAGCCCCCTTCAGTTCCCAACTCTGGGGCAGGATTTCAGGATACAAAGGGCAGCCACTTCCATGTGGCCCCGGGCCTCCCTCCAGCAACTGACCTAGGACTTGACCACGTGGCGTCAAATACGCGTGTGTTTGGGAAACGAAGTCATATGCACCCTCTAATCAGGGAGACCCAGCATATGGGGACTCAGGAAGGAGTCTGCTGGAGCTGCTGGGGAAATGCAGGGGAGGGAAAGCCCTCCCCCCACAGGCTTCTCTGCCAGCATTGTCAGCACTGGGGTGGGACAGGAGAATCAGAGGCTTAGGGGAATGCAGACCCAGCTGTTGGGGACTGGGGCACAGGCCCCCCCCCATAACCACGAGATGGAGCCACCCTTGTAGCCTGGACCAGGTTAGGGGAGCCCCTCTGGAGAAGATCCTCGAGTGGGGGGCAGAAGGATGGAGATAGTCGCTGGCAGGGCACCGAGCTGCCTTAGGCTGTCGCCCTCTGAGGGTCCACCTTCCCGTGGAGGAAGGCCACAGCCCTGGTCCCAAGGCTGAGCAAGGTCCCAAGGTCACCAGCACCCACGTGGCCCGCCACACGAAACAAAGCAGAAGGCCTGCCTCTCTCACAGTCTCAGCCTTGTGGATGTTCTGTGGTCACAGCCGCCTGTCAGGGCCCGTGCCTCCTGCTTCTGTGCCTCAGCCTCTGTACCCACAAGGATCACTGCTGCCATCGCAGGGGCCCCAAGCTCCAGACCTCTAAGCGCGCCTCCTGCTGGGCCTGCCCCTGCCACCATCCAGGCAGCGGGGAGGCAGCAGACTGGCTCTCGTGGCCACTGAGAGGTGGAGGGCAAGGAGGGTATGTCTCCTCTGCTCCCAGCTGAGACAGCCAATATGGTGGTGT